TGCTGCTGCTGCTGCTGCTGCTGCTGCTGCTGCTGCTGCTGCTGCTGCTGCTGCTGCTGCATGCGGCGAAATGCTGCAGGAGCAGCAAGGGCCTGCCGCCTCTCGGACTCCGTTTTGGCCCTTTTTTGGACGAAGACTTCGACGCGGTGGAGGTGTCTGTACACCTGGCGAAGGGCGAGGAGTTCGGCCAGGGTCCAGCGTCTGTACAGCAGAAACTCGTGGCTGTGCCCCCCCCCTGCTGCTGCTGCTGCTGCTGCTGCTGCTGCTGCTGCTGCTGGTGCTGCTGCTGCTGCTGCTGGTGCTGCTGCTGCTGCGGGCGCTCCGCGCTGCTGCTGCGCTGCGGGCAGCAAGCCGTCAGCAGCGCAGGGGCCTGCTGAGGGCGCGTCCGGGCCAAAAGCAGCAGCAGCAGCGCTTGCTGCTGCTGCTGCTGCTGCTGCTGCTGCTGCAGAGGGGGGGGCAGCAGGGCAGCAGCTGGCGGCGCCCTCCTCTTTGTCGCTTTTGCGGGACAGCTCCATCTTCGGGGTGTACGTACACCTGAGAAGAAGCCGCTGGTCATGTGCTTCGCGCGTTTTGCTGCTGCTGCTGCTGCTGCTGCTGCTTAGTTCTTCGAATTTGCTGCTGCAGCAAGCTGCTGCAGCAAACTGCTGCAGCGGGAGCAGCAAAAGTGAAAAGAGGCGGCGGCTGCGGGCGGCGGGACAGTGCGTTGAGGTGTACGTACACCTCAACGGCCAAGTTCATTGAATCCCCTCAAAGGCAAATTTTGAAAAGACAAAAAGCCCGAAGCAGCAGCAGCAGCAGCAGCAGCAAGAAGTGAGGAAGCTTTGTTTGCTGCAGCAGCAATTCGAGAAACAATTCAAGAAACAATTCCAGAAATAATTCCAGAAACAAATTAATAACAAGTCCTCGCGCGCCGCCGCCGTCCACGCGCTCGCCAGGTGTCTGTACACCCGAACCCAAACCGCTGCTGCTGCGGAAACGGCTCGGCTGCAGCAGCAGCAGCAGCAGCAGCAGCAGCAGCAGCAGCAGCAGCAGGTCTGCTGCTGCTGCTTAACTCGAAGCGCGAAAGGGGACTTGAATGTCAAGGACTCCTTGCTGCGCTTTTGCCTCGGAAATGCAAATTCGGCTGCGAGAAACGGCGCCGGAGAGACACATGCTGCTGCTGCTGCTGCTGCTGCTGCTGCTGCTGCTGCTGCTGCTGCTGCAGCAGAAAGCGACGCAAACGAGCACTTTGACGCGAAGCAGCAGCAGCAACAAACCAATTGGCAACTCCTAAAGAGGCAAATAAAAAAGCACTTGAGCAAAAAGCTGAAAAGCAAAACTGCAGGAAGCCAGGCGCCGGTCGACAGCCAGCGGGAACCTCGCTGCTGCGGGGGCAGCACGAAGACCGGGCCGGGGGGGCCAAAAGAGTTCGTTTTTCTGTTTTTGGGGCCTTTTTGTCGGTTAATTTTTGAAAATAATTAAAAATAAATTTTTAAAATTAAAAAAGAAGTCCATTTGACCGCTTTTCGGCGCCTGGCGGCGCCCAGCGCGCGCCGCGGACTGTCTTTTGAGGCTCGGCGCTGCCGAGTGTGTTGGCACGCTCTTGCCCCCTATTTTCCCCTTTAATTTCAACAATAATAAAAGTAAATGCAATTTAAATGAGAAAACGAGCAATGATGCGGGCTCGGCGGAGCGGATTTCATAATGGTGAGGTGGATGTACACCCCACGGGCGGCCAGCCGTGGCGGGCTGCGGCGCCGAAACCAGGCCTTAGCGGCACTTTAATTCTTCCGCGCGTTTCCGTCTTTTATAAAACAAGATTTTAAAATAGATTTGCAATTAAAAAAGCGGAAATTCGCGAAAAGTTCCCTCGAGGCGACGGCGGGCGCACCCAGAAGACAGCGCAGGCGTCGATGGCGGGCGCTCGCTGCTGGCCCGTTCTTGCATTGGAATTCCGCATTTTTCGGCTTTAATAATTCAAAAATTTGAAATTGTTTTAATTTTCAGAATTTAAATCTTCGAATTTGCATTTCAGCAGCGCCTTTGCCGCCGCCGCCGCAGCAGCACACCGCCGCGCGGCTGTCTTCGCTGCTTTCTGCCCTTCTGCTCTTTCCGCCTCGCCAAGCAAAACAAGTCCATTTGAATTAAATGCCATTTAATTTAAATGCCATTTAAATTAAATGCCATTTAAATTAAATGCCATTTAAATTAAATGCCATTTAAACCATTTTGCAGCTTCTGCATGAAGCCATTTGCTCATTTGCGGAAGACCCACAGCCGCCTGCAGCCCGCTCCAAACCCTAAACCCTAAACCCTAAACCCTAAACCCTAAACCCTAACCCTAAACCCTAAACCCTAAACCCTCGCGCCTGGCCCCGCAGCAGCAACGGGAAGAGAAGTGAAAATGAAGGAGATAAAGGACTTCTGGAAGCTCCAAATAACTCCAAAGTGGAAGCAGCAGAAAATAAAATAAAAAATAAAAAATACTTTTGAAGAAAAGTCTCCATGCCTTGTTCTCTTTTCGGGTGTCTAGACAGCTGCTGCGAGCGGCACTGCCGAAGCTCGAAGCTCGCGCTGCAGCAGCAGCTGCTGCTGCGTTTGCTGCTGCTTCTGCTGCTGCTGCTGCTAATGCTGCTGCTGCTGCTTCTGCTGCTGCTGCTGCTTCTGCTGCTGCTGCTGCTGCTGCTTTTTTAATTTCCGTGTCAGTGCCAAACAGCAACACATCATTTGCATGTGCTGCTGCTGCTTCTTGCTGCCACAGGGGCCCCCAAGGGGGCCCCTGGGGGGCCCCTTGGGGGCCCCTGGGGGGCCCCTGGGGGGCCCCTGGGGGGCCCCTTGGGGGCCCCTTAAGACCTCCTTAGGGGCCCCTAAAGACCCCGTAAGGGGCCCCTGGGGGCCCCCCAGGGGCCCCCTTTGGGTAGCGTTTGCGGGGAAAAAGAAGCCGATAATAAAAGAGAAATAAAAGTTGTCAAAAGAAATAAATAAATTCGAAGCAATGAAGTACTTAAAAACAAGAAAGCAGCAGCAGCAGCAGCAGCAGCAGCAGCTCTCCAGGGGCCCCCAGGGGCCCCCAGAGGGG